CATCGCTCAAAGTTTGAGCGCAATATTGAGCTTGATGAGCGGGGATGAGACAGCAGAGATGGAGGAGGGTAGAGGAATGCTCAAGTACGTAAGCTTCCAAGAGTGCAGGAAAAGCGCTCTCATTCTGGAGTTCCAGACAATTTCATAATGTCAACTCGGTCGCTTTGGCATCGGTCCTCTGATCGGTCCTGCGCTCGCTCTGCGAAGCCTTATGAGCGTGAAAGTTGATAATAAAGGTTATGAGCGAACACGCCTGCGTCGAAGGACACAAAAAGATTGCAGACGGCTTGCCTTGAGAACGTAATCCAGCAGCCCCGTGTCTCGAATAGTGCTGCGCGTGGTCTCGCGCACGGGGTCTCGTTCAAGCCGCACACCAGGCCTCAACCCGGCCATCAGGTCCACGAGCTGGAATTGGGCCCTCTGGAACGGGCCTGCGACAAGATTTTCGGAGTGAGCTCTCGTAGATTTATCGACCTCCATATACCGCCTCAGAGAGTGCGACACCCAAATACGAGAAGCAAGGGATGACTTCCGACAAGTAGAAGCACAGCCTAGATCTGCCTGGCAGCAAGCTTTTGAAAAAAGTTCAAGCAGGAGATGAACCATGTATGAAGAGCAACACAGTGTACCGGAAAGGAGGACTTCAACAACATACTCTCTCGTTGAAGTAGCTACTGCAAAATGAAAGCACTTCCAATCTGCTCGTACTGACGACCACGTTCATTGCGAAAGGATTGAAAAGTTTATCTCAAGAATACATGATTGATCGAGGACACACCTTTCCACTGAGCAGCGACCTCGCATGCTCTCTGGGTGCTCCAGCCATGGTTCCTGCTCCGCCGTCGGCTCCCCCTTTGTTCCGTCCAGCGCCCGTGCGGGGGGGGTGTGCTCTACTGGCAATTCGAACCCCCGAGTTCGGGTCTCGGTGCAGATTGCCCGAGGTTGTCGATCATATGCAAGACCAAGAGGAAAATCATCGCAAGTTAGACACCATCCCTTCATCGGTACACAGACAACAATTGAGCTGGACGCTTCCCTGGAAACGTCCCTGTAAGTCAATCGGGAGCCCACCCAAGTCTACAGACCACCAAAGATTATTTCGACCCGGCGCACTTCAAACTTCCGCGTGTGCAGTCAATCAGCAAAAGAGGCCAGAAGAATCCAAACGACCGGGCTTGAAGTGGTGACACGGTGTACACGGTGGGCAGGCTGAGAGCGTAGCGAAAGCAGGTGAGCAAGGTGGTACACAAGGTGGAGAGGCTGGAACGGTGAAAATAGGTGCTGGGCAGCGTCCTCGAACCCACACGAATCACCCAGGAACGAGTCAGCACTTCCAACCAGGTGCGACACAGAGGCCCGCGGGCTAGGTGCAAGTGAGAGCTTTGGCAACGGTCGTACACACAGTGGAGAGTGGAGAGGCTGAAACAGTGAGAATAAGTGGTGGGCGGATTACTCGAACCCACATACACAGGAACGAGTCAGCACGTCCAACCAGGCTGCTCAGAGCCGCTGGCTAAGTGAAAGTGAGACAACGGCAACCTTTAAGGTCATCATCGCGCACAAAATCTACGAGTTTTACGATTCTCGGGACATGGAGTCAAGGCACGGAGTCCGACACGGCAACGTAAAAGCTGAGGACATCCTGAAACGAGCTGAAACGACGGGGTAGGCATGTTCAAACGCCCCGTTCGAGTTTCAATCTGTCTCCTCCTCTCACCTCCAGATCTTGGTGCTTCGTTGCAGGGTCCGTCCCTTGAGGAGCAAGGAGACGCCTCGTCCTCCGCTTCAAGAATCTTCCACCGCTCGTTTGACAGGTCGAGGCTCTCTCTTGACCCACCGTCGTACAGAACCTGCAAAGGTTGATAGAAATGTATGTCAAGTGCAGACAACACCCTAGACAACACCCTAGACAACACCCTGTGCTTGTCGATAGTTCTTGAAAGATATGACTAAGATGTCTCCGTCCCATTGTAGCGATCTGCCACGTTTGGACCCCTCTGAAATGGGAACCTGGCTTGGGGATACGTAGAAAGAGGTCTAATCCTATCTCAAGATTAGGGCATTTCGGCCAAGGAACCGTAACTAGAGAAGGGGACTTTTACCTCGTGTTCGTTATTCCAGCGTGTATAGTGTACAACCCGCCCAGGAAGGAACCTGCATGCCAAAGCGCCAGCGCATGGTTCAGTAATACTCTAAGTTCCCGACATAAGCGACTGACCTGATGGGCGCCACAGACTCACGGCAGTACTTTAACCAAACGTAATCGGACGATCTGCTTGCGCTCCCAACCAAGCTCAATCAATTGCCCGGGAGGGTCGGGTTGTGGGGGTGGCAAACGAGGTGCCTCGTCAGCGAAAGTTCCAAGTTCCACGAGAGAGACGTCAACAGGGAGAGTGTCAAAGAAAAGGAAAGTTGTAGAAGACCTTGAGTTTGTTTGAGGAGACTTGCAGCAGGTCAACCAAGACAAATCACTCAGCGTCTGAACACTAACCATCCCACTAAGCATGTCAACCTTATACAGTCCGCGGTGTCCATGTTGGGCCCAATCCTGACTCTCCTATGACTCTCTTATTGCATGGGGAATCAAGTAAACTAAGAAGAGAATCCTGCGATGGAGTTGTGATTTTCCAGTTAACACCGCTGTTCAAAGCACGTGCCAACCAAGAATTGACGGAAGAAGCGGTGATGTAATAATAATATAAGCGGTACGGTTTCTCACACGTCATCAATCGGCCACCAAACTCCAACCCGTCTGCTGACAAGATCAGCACCAGTGGGGGCGATTGGAACACGAGCCGGGGTCGCTGGAGCATCCGCTGGCGCTGGAGCATTTGCTGGCGCCGATGCCGGCGCTGGCGCCAGCGCTGGGCTGGCCAACGCGTGGGGAGGCAAGGCGGACAAAGGAACATCCTGCAAAAAACCATCTGCATCTGTTCAAAACCCGCCTTCGTCTCCATCACAAGCAAAGATTGGCTGAGACGAGCTTAAAGCCCGAAATTTCAATGCTTACGGCACGCATAGGAGGGAGACGGGAAGAAAAGGGTGAGTAAAAACCAGACACTTGAGCAAAACATGACAAACTCAATCAAGGCCTGCATCGTGGTACTCTAGTGGAGACGGCAACACATTCCTCAGGTTACTGGACAATCAAGGAATAAACGAGGGCGACACGACATCGTCGCTTCATTGGCCTCAATTTGTAAAGAGGACCAGATGAGGAGGAAACAGATTAGATCACAACACCGCACGTACCTCGATCAGGCCGCTTTGCGTGCGGCTTGCCTCCACAGTGGACTTCCGGGCATGTTCTCCAACCTGCTCCGTTGCTTTTTCTTCTGGCGAAATAGAAATGAGAAGATGAGATCAGAAGGAGATGGTGTTTAGAAGGAGATGGTGTTTCTGAGAGAAGGAGATGATGTTCTCAGAAAGAGTTGAAACGGCATAAGATTGGTCGAGAGGCAGCCGCTATCTTGGCCTCCTCTCACTCCGTCTTAAGTTCAATCTCGTACTTTCAAACGAAATGAGACTCGTTAGTGAATGCTCAAAGAGAAGACAAGAGGCTGGCTTTACCTAGAGTAGCCAGGATCCCCAGGTAAAAGGTAGAAAAAAAGACGAGGCTCATGTCTTCGAGGGAACAGGGCGCTAACGCTGAAGTAGGTAAAGGTGCTTCAAAAGTAGACTACCGTTTCAAAGCCTCCAAAAAAAATTCACACGACACGTGTCTAAGATTCGCAAAAAGACCGAACATTGAGTTGAAATGCTCACAGAACTGTGAATTGTTGCAACTCAGACGTGCAATTCAAGGGGGAAAAAGCGCATAATCACCCTTTTTGCGTTGTCGATGCCTCCATCGCTTGGCCTTCTTCGTTGCCTGCGCCGCCTCCACCTCCGCCGGCGTCCGCTCTGCTTTCCTCTTCGCACTCAACTCCTCCCGCTTTCCTGACAGGAAGTCCTCTTGCGAGAACCCGAGGTGCGACATCACGCACTCGTACAGTTTCCTCGCCGCGCCTCGGGTGCCGTCCGACTCTGCGTGCCCGTACATCCCGTCGTCGATGTCGCGGAGACGTCTCTGGTTCTTCCCCCCCTTAAGGGTGTAGCTCGGATCTACCCTCTCCCCGTCCGAGTTGTACTCCGGCTCCCGAACGCTGTTCTGCTTTGGACCAGGCACACTCTGCCTTTCGTAATGTTTCTGGTCTCCTTTTGGTCCGTTGGTGGACCATCCGTGAGCCATTTGCCCGATCCCCTCGCTGGTCAACCCCGGAGAGAGTCGTAACCGGGCGCGAATAATTACATGATGCCTAGCGATTCATTTTCCGGCCTCATTTAAAATTGCGTATACAAGAGGTTTTTTATATATACATGCTTCCTACCCTATATAAACGCTTATTTAATATATACGTATACATATATAGGCAGGTACCGGTACGCCCGTGCCCAGTCCCCCCCCGGACCCCCCCTTCATCATTCTCACGCTCCTCATTTCCTCGGGAGTCTCCTCCCGAAACCCCCCTTCATCATTCTCACGCTCCTCATTTCCTCGGGAGTCTCCCCCCGGAACCCCCCTTCATCATTCTCACGCTCATCATTTCCTCGGGAGTCTCCCCCCGGAACCCCCCTTCATCATTCTCGTTTTCATCATTCTCGGATAATGAGGAGAACGAGAATGAGGAAGGCCGTTTCTAAGAGAAGGGGGGTGGCTTGGGTCTCCAAGGCTAGAAGCGGCCTTCCTCATTCTCATTTTCCTCATCCTTGGCAAAATGAGGAGAATGAGAATGAGGAAGGCCCTTTCTGAGGGAGGGGGGGTGGCTTGGGTCTCCAAGGCTAGAAGCGGCCTTCCTCATTCTCATTCTCCTCATCCTGGCAAAATGAGGAAAATGAGAATGAGGAAGGCGGATTTCAGAGGTAGAAGG